AGGGCCTGGAGTCTCCAGCTACAGGGCGGGACCCCTGATCTGCTCAGCTCTGGGCAGGAGCGTCCTTGCGGTCCTGGGCCCTCTCAGCCTCTGCCTGTCCCCGGGGGAGGCCGGATCCTGGGCTGTGTCCCGGCGCCCAGGGCCTGCGCTGTTGGATTCGCACTCCCGGCTGCGCAGCCCCCTCCCCGGAGCCGTGCCCAAGTCTCTCCAAGGTGCTCCCGGAGCCGCGCAGCCCCCTCTGCACGGAGCCTCTTCCTCTGCCCGAGCCCCTCCGAGCTGCTCTGGGTCCAGCCGTGCGGGTGCTGCAGCCCTTAGGGAGCTCGGCGCACTCTCCCGGGGCGCAGGTGTCTGTTAGCGTCCCAGGGAGCCCGAGGGCATCCCCGCCCTCCTGGGTCCTGCTCCAACTCCCTGCGAGCGCCTTTCCGCCCGGGAAGGTTGGTGCAGCTCCTGCTTCTCCGGGACGGGGCTCTCCTGTCCTGGGGACACTCGTCCCGGCCTCAGCCCGGCTCCTCGGGGGGCCCCTCCCCCTTGGAGGCCTTTTGTTTCTTTATTTCTTTTTTCCCGTCTTCCTACCTTGATAGAAGCGCGAACTCTTCTCTCTGCAGCATTCCAGCTGGTCTCTCTTTAAATCTCAGGCCAAATTCGTAGATTTTCAGGATGATTTGAAGGTTATCTAGGTAATTTGGTGGGGACAGGTGATTTGGGGACCCTACTCTTCTGCCATCTTGCCCCTCCTCCCCAGGACCCACATTTTTAAAAAGCTGCTGCCTTGTAAAGAATTGTATAAAATTTGCTTTACCATTAAAATTTTAAAGCATCTCATTGTCATATATTTATAAGTTGTCACCTAATAACAAGAAATTTTCTTGATTTTTTTTTCCTGGATATATGATTTAACTTAGATTTTGGCTTCCACAAGTATACAGCCTATAGAGAACAAAAATTAGATTAAAATTTGATAAAGGATAGGTAACTGAAGTTTTAAATTTTTTTTCTTTTTTTTAAGATTTTATTTATTGGGAGGGAGAGGGTGAGAGAGAGTGTGTGCACATGCATGAGCTGGGGGAGGGGCAGAGGGAAAGAGAGAAAGAGAATCTCAAGTTGACTTTGTACTGAGCACCAAGCCTGACGTGGGGTTTGATCTCATGACCCTGAGATCACAACCTTAGCAGAAACCAAGATTCAGATGGACACTTAACCTGCTAGGCCTCCAGGCACTCCTAAAATTTTATTTTATTTGTTGCTTGCTAACTTTAAACTTTTAAAACCAAATTTCATTAATTGATGTTTTCATTTAGTAAAAGTTACTTTTTAAACTAATGTCAGTATTTTTAAGGTTCTAAATCTGAACTTGAACATCTGACAATGTAAAGTGATTGGACTTCTTTATAAATATAATTTCTGTACATCGATCTTACATGCATAGTCCCGGGACCCTATACTCCATATAGTGGGCATTGTCTATACAGCAATTGTTAGGAGTAGGGTTAGGACCTGTGAAGAGAGAAAAATGTATTGGTCACCAAAGATTATCCATTGAGATTGAGAACTACAGTTTGCTCAGGAATTAATTAGGAGTTTTATAGCACCAGTATTGAAACTACAAACATACTTGGATCTATAACTGGTTTTCCCCTTTGTTTTCTTTCATTTTTGGTTTTCTAAATTTATAGAGGTTTATAGGAAAAGGATCTTTCATGTTTCTAGCTTGGGGGGTGTATATTCTTGTACCCTTTTCTTCTGTCTCTGTCTCTATCTCTTGGTCTCCATCTCCATTTGTCCATCTGTTCTTGTCTCTGTCTCTCTCTCACACACACCCATACACCCTACTATCACTAAAGAAACTCTTAAAACGTATTTTCCAGATAATAACATATAGAGATAGAGCTGTGATTTAACATATTTAACATTCAACATATTTAACTCACCAATCCCATAGTGCATGTAAGTTAATTTAAATAAGAAATCTAAACTCTCAACAACATGCAGAAATCAGTCTCATCACTTTTGTTCACACTCTTTAAGTCTTTTATTTGGGTGGTACCTTGCCTAGTTCCAAAGAAATGGATATTCTGGGGAAATAGGCTTAGGTTTTAGGCTATTAGTCCTTTTTTTGTTTCTTTTAAGTGTACTTTCAATAAAGATACTTTATTTTCAATAAGAAGAACTTTATAACTTTTTTCATGAAGTTGTTTTTCCTTTAAGTAAATGAAAATAAGTAAAAAAAATAAAAAATAAAATAGTTTTACTAGGGATGCCCCGGGGAGCTCAGCGGTTAAGCGTCTGCCTTTGGCTCAGGGTGTGATCCTAGATTCCCAGGATTGAGTCCCACATCAGGCTCCTTGCATGGAGCCTGCTTCTCCTCCCTCTGCCTTTGTCTCTACCTCTCTTTCTGTGTCTATCATGAATACATACATTCTTAAAAAAGAAAAAGAAAAGAAAAATTGTTTTACTAGATACTGAATTCTTGATTTACAGGGTTTTTTCCCTGCACTTTTTTTTTTAAGTAGGCTCCATGCCTAGTGTGGAACCCAATGCAGAAATTGAACTTACAACCCTGAGATCAAGACCTGAGGTGAGATCAAGAGTTGGATGCTCAACTAAGTGAGCCACCCAGGTGCCCCTTTTTCTACACTTTTGAAATGTCACTCCTCTGCCTTTGGCCTTTATTTTTCCTGATGAAAATGCTGCTGTTAATTGCATTATTATTCCCCTGTACATGATGAATCATTTTCTTGCTACTTCCAAGATTTTCCTTTTGTCTTTTGTCATTAGCAATTTGACAATGATGGTGTCTCTAGATATGGATCTCTTGTGCTTATTTTACTTGGGTTTTGTTGATCTCTTTATATCTATATAAATATCTTTATTAACTTTGAGAGGTTTTCAGACATTATATTTTCAAATATGTTTCTGCTCCTTTATTTCTCTTTTCCTCCTGGGACTTCCTTTATGCATATGTTATTACTCTTGATGGTGTCCTATAGGTGTCTGAGGTTCTGTCCATTTCTCTTTATTCCTTTCTTCCTTTTGTTTTTCAGAATGGTTAATTAATCTCTATTGATCTATATTCAAGTTCACTGATACTTTCTTTCAGAAGCTCAAAAATGTTATTGAGCTTTTCTAGTCAGCTTTTCATTTCAATTGTACATTTCAATTCCAGATTTCCATTTTTAAATAAATGTTATCACTTTATTGATATTCTCTATTAAATGACACATTGTTGCATTTTCACTATTCAAACGTTATTTATAATGACTCTTATGAAAACTTTGTAAATCCAACATCTGGACTCATATACTCATTGTATATTGACTGCTCTTTTTTTTTTCTGAATGGGTTGTATATTCTCATATTTCTGAGTGTCTAGTAAGTTTGGGTTGAAAATTAAACATTTTAATTATACATTATGGCAACTTTAAATTCAGTTTTATTTTTTTAAGGTTTTTATTGTTGTTTGAGTAATTTTCATGTACTTAAACTGTGGAATCATTCTGCCCCATGATTTGATTTGTAGCAGCTGATGTCTCTTAGTTTTTGTTTGTTTATTTGTTTTTAGCCTGATTTCCTCAGGGTTTCTCTTTTGTCTGAATAGCTTAATAGTCACCTAATGATTTGGGAGAGACATTGTGTTCAAGCCAATAAGGCTTCCACCTTCTGCCAAGTGATCTGTAGGTGGGTTTTCTGGAGGCATCCAAAATTGCTGCTGGTAGTCAGTCTCACATCGTTTTTTTAACTTAGCAGCACTAAACCACTGAGCCACTTGGACTGCCCTGCATGACATTTTTTAAATGTCATATGACAACTGTTAAGCACTTTAAAGGACTCACATATACTTTTTAAATAGTTTTTTTTAAACATTATTTTTAAATTTTTATTTATTTATGATAGTCACAGAGAGAGAGAGAGAGAGGCAGAGACACAGGCAGAGGGAGAAGCAGGCTCCACGTACCGGGAGCCGGACATGGGATTCAATCCCGGGTCTCCAGGATCGCGCCCTGGGCCAAAGGCAGGCGTCAAACCGCTGCGCTACCCAGGGATCCCCTAAATAGTTTTTTAAATTAATAATACTTTGTTAAAACTTGTCCATAAATTGATAGGGACTTTGGAATATATGTTTTTTTAATAAATTAATTTTTATTAGTGTTCAATTTACCATCATACAGAATAACACCCGGCGCTCATCCCGTCAAGTGCCCCCCTCAGTGCCCGTCACCCATTAATCCCCACCCCCCGCCCTCCTCCCCTTCCCCCACCCCTAGTTCGTTTCCCAGAGTTAGGAGTCTTTATGTTCTGTCTCCCTTTCTGATATTTCCTACACATTTCATCTCCCTTCCTTTATATTCCCTTTCACTATTATTTATATTCCCCAAATGAATGAGAACATACACTGTTTGTCCTTCTCTGATTGACTTACTTCACTCAGCAAAATACCCTCCAGTTCCATCCACCTTGAAGCAAGTGGTGGGTATTTGTCGTTTCTAATGGCTGAGTAATATTCCATTGTATACATAAACCACATCTTCTTTATCCATTCATCTTTCGATGGACACCGAGGCTCCTTCCACAGTTTGGCTATTGTGGACATTGCTGCTAGAAACATTGGGGTGCAGGTGTCCCAGTGTTTCATTGCATCTGCATCTTTGGGGTAAATCTCCAGCAGTGCAATTGCTGGGTCATAGGGCAGGTCTATTTTGAACTCTTTGAGGAACCTCCACACATTTTTCCAGAGTGGCTGCACCATTTCACATTCCCACCAACAGTGTAAGAGGGTTCCCTTTTCTCCACATCCTCTCCAACAGTTGTTGTTTCCTGCCCTTTTTGGAATATATGTTAAACAGATATTTCTTCAACCATACTAGCAAGCAACACTAGTCTATGCTATGTATCATTCATTATATGGGACTATTAATAAGACATTTAATAAAATAGAATTCATCTTTTGTATATATATATATGTCTATGTAGATATATAGATATATGCCTTTTTTATATTTCAGGAATTGCATTTTTTATGATATGGTGTGTAGCCTGGTCATTCTCAGGCCCTGAAGTTCTCCCTGGTGGAAATTTATTTGGACTATTAATCATCTTTCATAGTGCCATTATTGGGGGGAAACTTTTGGAACTCATTAGAATACCTTCAGTGCCTCCACTTCCACCTCTTCTTGGTAAGTGTACAGTTAGTTCTTATTTCTTTGTTATTAACTATATGTAAATTATAAACATACTCCAGTCAGAATAGATATAATTTAGAAATATTTCAATGTAACATGATCTTTATGTATGTATTTACTATATATGTATGCCTGTAGCTTACTTATAGAAATATTTATTCTTTTTACACATAAGCACACAGATTTTTTTTCTGAAATACATTTGCAAATAATTTAAATATGTTCAATATATGATTCCTCTTGCTTTATTGTTTAGTAGGACTTTTTAAGTTAGTTTTAAATATATTCTAAAAAGGAAACATTTGGAAAAGACTGAATTTTTCTATAGATAATCTAATTCAAATATTAATTGTAAGATTCAAATAGTATAGTGACTAGGGCATCAGAAGGCTTTAAGGTTTTAGAGTAAGCTATTTGGTTATCTCCACTATGTACATTCATGGATGCATCATCTGCCTAACCAATATCACATCCTATTTCTTCATTAACATTATTATATAACTCTCCATCTGGACAGAGGAAAATTAGTGGAACAACTTCTATTAGTGGTGTCTCATATCTTCTAAGTATTAAATACACCCAAATATTCAGTACTCTGTAAGTAGAGATAATCACTCCATTCTATTGCTAAACACCCTTTCTATGTCCACAACATCCTTTCAGCACCTGCTAAGTATTCACTGAATCTTTTTTTTTTCTCCAAAACTTCCACTCCTGCCCTAACTTAGGCTATTTGTTTTCCATCTCTTCCATGGACTATGAAAGACCCTTCTAATTGTTCTCTCCTCCAGTTTTATGTCTATCTAATTCATCAAGACCATCACATAGAAAATACAAGATTCATTATGTCACTTCCTTCTAAAACTTTCCTATGGTGCAAAAGCATAAAGGCATTGCCAAAACCAGTGAGAATGGAGGCTTCAGGGGGATTAGCTTTATATTATTTGGCCCCTCCTACCCATCTCCCACTCCCATCCTTGTTTTTTATGTTCCAACAACACTCAATTACTTATTGTAGCCATTTGAGATATGTCATTTCTTATCTTCATTCCTTAACTTATACTGCCTTCTCTATTTGTATGTAAGCTGCCCTTCACCGAAGTAATGAGACATAGTGTGTTTGAGGAAGGGAAATTAAATATTTCTATTTTATAACTTAGAAAAATGAACTGAATCAGATATGCCTTATTTTCTTTCTTTTAAGGGATGTTACTGGCTGGTTTTGCCATAAGGAATGTTCCATACCTCAGTGATTACATCCAAGTTAATAGTACATGGTCTTCAATTTTAAGAAACACTGCCCTTACCGTTATCCTAATACAAGCTGGGCTTGGACTTGATCCACAGGTAGGTTTCTAATTATATCTTGAATAAAGATATTTTAAATATTAGAGGCTAGTAGAAAAGAAAAAGGCAGAATTTTTGTTACTGCTGTTGCAAGTAAAGCCTGTAAGGAAAAAAAAAAAGACAAAGATTTTGCAGAAATGTGGCATCTTTTAAGTTCTACTTCTGGTCATCATTATTACTGATATAAGGCAAAATTATTATGATGTGAGATTTCTATTAGAGATCATCTTTAATGATGTGAGATCTTTATTAGAGCTCATCTTTAATTATTTGCATAGAGATACGTGCCCCTTGCACAGCATTTGTATTATTTAGCAGCTGTGGCTTTTCTCTGGAGAATTATTTACTTTTCAGTTAAAAAAGGATAAGATCTACTCCTAAACCGTTTTTGCTTTTCTTTTATTTTGTTTCTCAGGAGGATTAGAAATTTGATAATATTTTTGTTCCATGACTTTTTTCCTACACTGAAGTATGTTCCTGATTATCTTTGCATCATTGTAGAAGCTAATCTTTTTAAATATTTCTTAAAATATCCCATAAATCTATTTGGGTTTTAAAAAGATGACTATTCATGAATATAACTGTACTCAAACACCAAATATATGAGTTTAGTAGAAATATTTCAAGAGCATAAAGACAGGGGATCCCTGGGTGGTACAGCGGTTTAGTGCCTGCCTTTGGCCCAGGGCACAATCCTGGAGACCCGGGATCGAATCCCACGTCGGGCTCCAGGTGCATGGAGCCTGCTTCTCCCTCTGCCTGTGTCTCTGCCTCTCTCTCTCTCTCTCTCTCTCTCTCTCTCTCTCTCTCTGACTATCATAAATAAATTTTAAAAAAAAGAGCATAAAGACAGTGATAATTATATCCTCCAGTAGAAAATTTGAGCCAATGAGAAAATTTTAAAATTCACCTTTTTAGTGAGATATGCTGTTTTTAAGTTATTTTCTCTTTTGGCACATTGATATTTTCTATTATAATTATCAAATTAATCAAACATATCATTTCTAAAAGTTAACTGATAGAAATAAACCTGTAGGTTACTTTCATTATACTATTTACAAGAAAGATTGCTGAAGGTAGGAATAGTTATTTAGTTACAGAGAAATGGAACTTTTAAAATAATTTAGATACAACAATGTTTTATAAAATGTGAAATAGTTTATAATCCAATCTGTGATGACATATAAAATTAGCTGCATTTGCATTTCAAGCCCAGTAGAACAATCTGGAAGATTTAACTTAGTAAAAGCTAATTACTCAGAAAAGACCATATATTTCAAAATTTACTTAAATAATTGTCTTATTGGCCATTATAAATTTGTCTAAATGTGATTATTTTTATGTTTCAGGCTTTGAAGAATTTGAAAAGAGTTTGTTTAAGATTGGCTATAGGTCCATGCCTAATGGAGGCATGTTCAACCGCTCTTGTTTCCCACTTCCTTATGAATTTTCCCTGGCAATGGGGATTTCTGTTGGGGTAACTTTTTCTCATTTTCTCTATGAAAATATTGAGTTAAGAATGCTTAGTTTAAAATTACCAGAATATTATATAGACAAACTTCTCATTAGAATTCTTTTCACAGTGGTAGAAAATCTTGGAAATTTGTTGGTCAGAAGCAGAGCCATGTCCTAAATCTACCATGTCCTTAACAAACATGCATGTTCCCTAAATGTTTAGTGCAAAATAATTCACTTCATCAATTTATTCCTTCTGTCCTATATTTTAAGCTATTTCTACTTTTCAACCCATCCAATGCCCTTTTCCTTATACATTGTATGTATATATTACATACACATATGAGAGAGATTCTGTATAGATATAGATATTATAGCAAAAACACTCTTTCCCTAAATCCGATGTCCCATCTGTTTTTACCCACTATTCATTTACCTTCATGTCCCAATTCCTCACTGTCTCTAGATCCTGACTGAACTCCTTTTCATTTTTCAATGCATTTACCTTTGGCCTCCACTTATCCATTTGAATGTAAAGTTCACCCATTACATACATACTTATTGCCAAATGCAATGTGTTTTTTAAAATTAGTTTTTATTATAAAATACCCAAATGAATTTTATTTTTGAAAAATTAGAACCTTACAGACAAAAGTAAAAAGCCTTTTAATCATGTTTTCAAATCCTAGTACCCATAGCCCTACCCAAAATAACAACTTTTATGAGTTTTATGTTATCATTCTAGATCTTTAAAAATAACATTTTGTGTGATTTATATGCAAATACACAAAAAATACTCTTTCCAGGGATATAGCTACTGTATACATATATACTATATAAATCATATCAAAGAATATCACTTTGTTTGCAGTTTCCTTTTTTTAATTCAACAGTATTCTTGAGATTTATACCTATTAAAAATGTAGTTCATTTGTTGTTTAATTGTTGTATAGTGTTACATTGCATGATAAGACCAGATTTCATTTACAGTGTTACAAAAAATACATTTTATTTGTCTCCTTTTACACAAATGTGGGTTTTCTAGAATGGTTACCTCGATTATGTGCATTTTCAGTTTTGATGGAACTGTCAAAATTCCTTCAACCCTATATCGAGCAGGGTATGAAAATAACCTATTATTTTCAAATCCTTGCAAATTCTTGATATTATCAAGCTTTATGATTTCTTCCACTCTGGTGAACAAAAAATGATATTTCTTTGTTGTTTTAAGATGCATTTACGTAATTATTAATGAGCTTTAGTATTTTGATACTAGCCTGTTTATATCCTTTTTCTACTTTTCTGTTGAGTTATTCTTTTCTTTCTTATTATTTCAGTGTTTTGTTACAAATATTGCAAATATCTTGTCCTAATATACCACTAGATATTTAACTTTGCTTATGGTGACTTTCTTTTTATTTAAAAAGGGCATTTTATTATTTCCAACAGATAAAAGAGCAAATACATAATATTCCTTGACCTTGAAAATCAAAAAGAAAAATGAGGCCATGGGGAGGCAGTGTAACTGTTTTTGATATACCAAAGGTTTTTTGATGTAATCAAATTTATCAATATTTGTGTTTCTGTTTAATAACTTTCTATGTGTCATTCAAAAGGTCCTTTTTACCAAAGGTTTTTTGATGTAATCAAATTTATCAATATTTGTGTTTCTGTTTAATAACTTTCTATGTGTCATTCAAAAGGTCACAAATATATTCTTCTATATTTTATTCTCATTACTTTTATGTTCATTTTTTAAAAATTCCTTTAAAATAGCTAGTTTATTACATGTGAGGATCTAGCTACATTGTTTTTCACATGAATAGGTAGTTGTCCCAACACCATTTATGGAAAACTTCTTTCTTTTCTCTATTGATTTGAAATACTGATTTTATAATCTAATAAATACCATATATTTGTTTTTATAATTTGTGTTCTGCTTTCTTCCAATCTATTTTGTCTATTTCAATGTCACTATTCTACAGTTTTAATTATTTTGCCTTTACAAAAACAGTATTTTTTTACATTGACTTCATTTTTCATTCTAAACCCTTATTCTCCCAAATGAGTCTTAAAATCAGCTAGTCTAGTTCAATGAAAAATCATGAGAATATTTTAATGGGCATAGCAACAAATTAATGAATTAATTTGGAGGAGAGATTATACCTTTAAAAATTGAGACCTGGGATCCCTGGGTGGCGCAGCGGTTTGGCGCCTGCCTTTGGCCCAGGGCGTGATCCTGGAGACCCGGGATTGAATCCCACGTCAGGCTCCCAGTGCATGGAGCCTGCTTCTCCCTCTGCCTGTGTCTCTGCGCCTCTCTCTCTCTCTCTGTGACTATCATAAATAAATAAAAATTTAAAAAAAAGATAAAATTGAGACCTCTCCCTAATTATTTAGGTGTTATCTTAAGTTCTACAATGTTTACAATTTTAAGAAAGATCTAGGCTATCTTCATAGTTTTTTTCTTAGGTATTTCGTGCTTTTTATTGATGATAGATTTTTTTCATAACATTTTCTACTTAGTTTTTGCAGATATTTGAGAAATCTACTAATAAAGTTTTATTGAGGTATAGTTCACATACAATAGAATGAGCACCTATTTTAGTGAACATTTCAGTGAGTTTTGAGAAATTTATATACACATGTAACCACCAGCACAACTGAGATGCCAAATATTTTCATTAACCCTCCAAAAATTTTCTTTACTCCCCCCAGTTAATTCCACATGAGCCATAGGCAATTCACAATCTACTTTCTGTCACAATGGACTCAATTTTTTAGAGTTTTAAGTAAATGTAGTTATATAACATGTCCTGTTTCCTTTCTGGCTTCATTTGGTCAGCGAGTTGTTTTTGAGATGCATCCATATTATCCATTCCATTTTATTGCAGAGTAGTATTTCATTGTATGAATATACCACTAACTATTCACTTCTTGATGGATGTTTAGATTGTTTCCAGTTCAGCCATTATAAATAAAGTTGTATGAACTTTTGCATTCAAGTCTTTGTGTAGACATATGTTTTCATTTCTTAGGGAAAAACCTAAGAATAGATTTGCAGAATCATATGGTAAGATGATTAATTTTATTTAACGGATCCCTGGGTGGTGCAGCAGTTTAGCGCCTGTCTTTGGCCCAGGGCGCGATCCTGGAGTCCCAGGATCAAGTCCCACGTCGGGCTCCCAGCATGGAGCCTGCTTCTCCCTCTGCCTGTGTCTCTGACTCTCTCTCTCTCTCTCTCTCTCTCTCTCTCTCTCTCTCAGGAATAAATAAATAAAATCTTTAAAAAAAAAATGGGGCACCTGACTGGCTCAGTTAGTAAAGCATGTAACTTTTGATCTATGTGTTGTGAGTTCCAGCCCCATGTAGAGATTACTTAAAAATAAAATCTTTAAAAGAATAAATAAAAATAAGTAAAAAGTGCCAGTTTTCCAAAGTATTATAGTACATTCCCACTAACAATGTATAAAATTCTAGGCCATCCACATCCTCTCCAATACTTGGTACTGTCTGTCTACTTAATTTTATCATTTTTTAGTGGATGCATAGTGGTATAAAGTTGTTGTTTTAGACAAGGGAAACAAAAGCAAAAATAAACTATTGGGACTGCATCAAGATCAAAAGCTTCTGCACAGCAAAGGAAACAATCAACAAAATTAAAAGACAACCTTTGGAATGGGAAAAGATATTTACAAATGACATATCTGATAAAGGATTGGTATCCAAAATATATAAAGAACTTATAAAACTCAATACCCCAAAAAACAAATAATCCAGTTTAAAACTGGGCAGAAGACATGATTAGACATTTTTCCAGAGAAGACATACAGATGGCTAACAGACACATGAAAAGATGCTCAACATCACTCATCATCAAGGAAATACAAATCAAAACTACAATTAAATAACACCTCACACATGTCACAATGGCTAAGATTAACAACACAGGAAACAACAGATATTGGTGAGGATACAGAAAAGAGGAATCCTCTTACACTCTGGATGGGAATGCAAACTGGTGGAACCACTCCGGAAAACAGTATGGAGGTTTCTCAAAAGGTTAGAAGTAGAACTACTCAGCAATCCAGTAGTTCTCTACTGGGTATTTGCCCAAAGGATAAAAAAATACTGATTCAAAGGAATACATGCACCCTAATGTTTATAGCAGCATTATCAACAATTGCCTAATTATGGAAAGAGTGTGTGTGTATATATATATATACATATATTCTCTAGTTCTATTTATATTGTTGCAAATGGCAAGATTTCATTCTTTTTTATGGCTGAACAATATTCCATTGTGTGTGTGTGTGTGTGTGTGTTTGCTATATCTTCAAGTTCATTGATCTTTGCTTCTAGTCTTCAACATTCTCTCAATCCTATCCAGTGATTTTCTTTTTAATTCAGATGTTGTATTTTTTTGTCATAAGCCATCATACATTTCTTTCCAACTTTATTAATATGTAATTCACATAAAACATTTTGTAAGTTAGATATACAACATGTTGATTTTATACACTTATATATTCCAAATGATTACCAACATACCATTAGTTAACAGTTCCATCTTGTCACATAATTACCTTTTGTTTGTGTGTGTAGTGAGAACATTTAAGACCATCTCCCTTAGCAACTTTCAAGTATATAATACAGTACCATTATCACCATGCTGTACATTAGATCTCCAAAATTTATTCATCTTATAATTGGAATTTTATAGTCTATTGACCAACATTTCCCCATTTCTTCTACCCTTCAGACCCTCATAACCACTATTCTATCTCTATGAGTTCAGTATTTTTAGATTCCACACATAAATGATATCATACAATATTTGTCTTTCTGTGTCTGACTTACTTCACTTAGCTTAATGCCCTCAAGGTCCATGTTGTTGTAAATGGCAGCATTTCTTTCGTTCTCATGGCTGAATAATATTCCATTGCGTACACACACACACACACACACCACACACACACATACCGCAACTTCTAGTTTATTTGTGCATTCTATTGTCAGTGG